AAAAAAAAAACCGTGGTGTTATCCTTAATTTAGTACTTTTTATGCAGGCAGTTTATAACCTGCTAAAAGACAAAAAATTCTTCACCACTAATCTGTTTTTTGATGCTCACGGTTGACCAGTAGGTGACGTGGTTAGCTGACTTTTTAGAAGTTGATTTCATTTTAGGGTAATTAACCTGTTTTTCTTTTCATAGAAGCATTTCAAAACTTCTGCTTAAAACAGTAAAGTAAATATATCAGCAAAACCAACATAACAGTTACTGTTGAATGAATATTGTTGTTTTAGTGATTACCACATTTAAAATTTCCTCTGGTCGTGAACATCACAACGTTCCCAATAGTTCAAAAACCCTGTGTGAAAGATGTCGAAACCGCGATAATCAAGGTTTCTTCAAAAAATTTGATTTATCGTAAATCATTCTGTTACAGTGACGTATTTTTCTGTTATCATAACAATTGGGTATATTTGTTATGGCTTCCATTTAAGCAAGAAGACCTGTAAGGAAAGAGAGATAAGTTTCTTGCCCGGTGCAATTTAACAGCTGTAAAATTTCACTGATAACTTGCAAACTAAATCAAAATAGATACTACATCTTAAACAATAAATCAAAAAACTTTGTATTTAAATTAGTCCTTTTCAGTCGCTGTTATTCATAATCACTATCGAGAGCTTTACTGAAACTGACTAACTCAAAATTACTGTTTCTTTAGACTTTAAAGATCAAAGGCTAACAATCGTCGCTGACTTCTGGAGATGATAATGATCATTTTTCTTTTAATTGAGATATTAGAAAAAATTACTGGTTTTTATTTATTATGCCAAATATAAAGCATTTTAAACTTTTACTAGCAAAATCCAAAATAAGGATATTTCAGATTCAGTCGTGGCAAAAACTGTCACCTTCGCAGACGCATCAGAACAAACTGAAGATAGTTATTTTTCTCAGCCGTATTCTACCCGTTCAGCTGAAGTAAGGCGGCTTTTAGCAGCTTGTATTTTAAACATCTAATTTAGTCAGTAGTTTAATTGGAATTTTGATTGTTATGATAAGAGATTATAAGCTGAACAAAATTTCAGTTTTCTTAACAGTTCAAAGGTTAGTGTCGTGATTGTTTTTAGTCGACTGTTACCGGTTTTCGTCAACACTTTCTTTCTGCCAAACTTCTAAGTGAATAAACTACATTAGTTTAACTATAGTTGAAAATTTTATTAAAATTCTTATTTACGAAAGCACTCTTATCTTTAGAAAAATTACTTTGGAGTTTACGCAAGAACAAATCTGGAGACTAAGGCAGACTAGTGCTGAAGTGGTGGGAAAAGTGTTAAAAAAAAGTAGTTAAAAAATTGAAAAGTGGACAAAATTTTCTGATGATTAGACGCCTGGTAATTTGGATATATTAGGTTTAACACCGTAGCAGATAACTTAGATGGAAGTATAAATCTGTGGCTGCTAGCATAAATTTATTGAGTAAAAGCAAAGTCTTTGTAGAGTGCCTTTTCTTATTGTCAAAACCGTCGCCTTTTTACAACATTTCTATCCCTACTCGTAATAAATTAAGATTTAGAAGTTTAGAAAATACAGTTAAATATATCCTTCCTTTACCGCTAGCATTTTTTCCTGCTTCCCAGCAAATACTTTTCCTAAAAAAGTTTTTAAAATTTGTTGCAGTAACAATAAAATGAAAAACTCTCTTCACTAAAAAGTTGACCCTGCCCTTACAAAATCCTCTGCTTTTTTGAACTAAATAGGTGTTTCTTATTCTTAATTGAATTATGTTTAAAAACTTCGTTCACTTTATCTGCCAATGAGATGACTCGGTAAGAATAAGCTTTAAATCCGTTGTAATGTTTTCATACTTGATCTACACAACCAGTCCACGAAACTCTTAATGACAAATTTTTAAACGTTTTGGTGTCAACAAGTTTTTGTTTCCTGCTTTCTGACTTTTATCCTAACATTTCAGAGAACACCTGCAGACCAGTGGATAAATGGTGATGCCAAAAAACAAGTCTTTAACAGTAAAATTTAAAACATAACTAACTAACTAATTTATTCAACTTTATAAATCTTTCTTCCGAAAACAGAAAAAAATTCGCATAGTTACTCGTTTACCACCATTGACGAACTTAGTAACCAATGCTGATTAATGTCCTGTATTTGCGAGTAGCAAATTCTTTTTAGTTACAGGATATCAAGATAACGGAAAGCGTCACTTTCATGATCATTTAACAGTGGACGAAGAAAAAAACCATTCAAAAAATTCCGAATCCTTTGACTTAATGTCTAGACGTCAGTTTGTTTTTACCAACGCAATCCCTTTCCTATCCGCTCAGATTAAAGACCCATACCGGTCTCGAAAAACTTACAGCTTTCTTTGCCTATACATATCCATACTTTGTCGTGACAACTAAAATACTTTGGTAGTGACTGTTAAAGAAAGATGATTAAGCTGTACTTGATTTTTGCCTACTGATAGTGACAAAACTCTTGTTTCTTTAAGTGAATAACATGTTTGGTCCGGAAACTTGATTTTCAAGAGAGAAAAAATGTTAAAACTTCTAATATCCTTAATCGGGGAAATCTTATCTTGCAGCTTCTATTCGAAAATCTTTAATAAATGTCTCCTACAGTTCGTTTCC